TCATTTTCAAGGTGCACCGATAAGAACAAAAATTCACATGGCTGGAGGACCCTAATGTTTAACTTATATGTTTTTTTTTTTTTTCTCATAGCAACGATGGTTCACTTTCACCAGTATTAAAGAAAATGTCTTTTTCCAAACGTTTTCTTTTATTAGATGGCAAAATAATCTTTTGTTAACACAGAGAACGTCACAAATTCTGGCACCCTTGTGAATAAAAAACCCTGACATAAATGCAGTATATATATATATATATATATATATATATATATATATATATATATATATATATATATATATATATATATATATATATATATATATATATATATATATATATATATACTACAGGACATTCTTAATTTCATGATTTTACAGAGATAAAGACATCTTCAGAAAATTTAAAAGCCTTTTCTCAAGTCTTCGCCATTTTAAAAAACGGAAGTGACATAGGCCTTTTGCTCTGAGGTACTTAAGAATATTGTTTTTTACATTTGGTTTATCCATTGGTATTCAAAACAAAAGAAGACACAGAGATCTAACTCTCCCATCAGTTGATTTTGCAAATGCACAAAGAATGTTGTGACTCTGCTTGCTTTCACTTTGCTGCAAGCTGAAGAACGGCTTCTGGCATGTCTCACATTTAACGTGCATGTACATAGAAGCAGTGTTATATTTAACAACACAAGGCACTTCTGATAGGAAAATCATTTCCTAAAGGTGTGCTCCAGATACATGTTTACGCTCATAAAAACAACTGCAGATTGCTTTCAGAAGTTGTTTTGATGTCATCTTTATATCATAAAGTTTATCTAGTGCAAAAACAATATTGCTTTTAAAATACATATTTACATAAGTAAAATCAAAGTTGTAATAACTACACTGCCTTGCAAAAATAATTGTATCCCTATAAATTATTCAGTTTTGTTACAACCACCAACTTCAATGTACTTATTTTGGAGTTTGATGTAGATTAGCATAAACTGTGAATAAGAAGGAAAAATATGATTTGCAGAATGTTTTACAACAAATTGAATAGTGTGTCAGCTTGAGATCCATTGAGTCAATTATTTGTACAAGTACATTTTGCTGTCGTAATAGTTGCAAGTCGAGGTATCTCTCTACCTGTTTTGCACATCGAGAAACTAAAATATTTTAGTCAAGCACTGTAATTTTGAAGCAGAACAATTGTGAGCACCAAAGTCTTACCACATATTGTCAATCAGTCTTAAGTCTGGACCTTTTCTGGAGCATTCTAACTAGCAGCACTTCTTGTCATAAGACGTTCCATTTGTAAAAATTTGAAATAAATTACTGTTTTGTTTTGATTTCAGGTTCTAGAAAGGGGGAAAGATCACTGGAGAAATAGAACTGCAATTACAATATACGTAATTGTGTCTGGTTTATGAATAAATAAAAATACTGTCATCAATAGATATTTCAATATATTCCCCCATGACATTATATATACATATAGTTTATTTTATAAACTTTGCAAGAACATAAGGGCACATAAAATGCGGTTCATTGATCTCTGTTTGTTTTCTTCACCTGTCATGGTGTCAGACGTATGTATTTGTGCACTACCTTGTTGCTACAATGTTGCAGGCTTCATGCAGTAGGAAAGGAGGAAAGGACAGCCACAGTGCATTCAATTCTTGCTGGTTTCTTCGTACTTGTTGCGCCTTGATTAATGTTCACTAATGTGCGGCCTTAATTGTTATGTTTAATTGTGCAGAAGAGCAATTTTGTTCCTGTCAAAGCAAATCAAGTAAATTTTTTTCTTCAACTATTCATTACATTTTTATTTTTATTTTGTTTTCATAATACAAATAGCACAAAATATATCAATACACACAACACTCGTGAAAAAAACAAACAAACACATGGGTATTTTAAATGTTTTGAAATGTTATATTTTATAGAGATATACATATATATATTTTTGAAAGAACATACTAGGTTGTTTTTTTACTTAATTATTTATTTAGGTTTTTTTTTTTCTGAACATCAACCAAAAAAACAATTAATACGAAATTATAGGATACAAAAGCTTGTTCTTAGAAAAATCTATATTCTCAAAAATAGATTTGAAGTGAATAAATGTGGAGGATTTGGTTCCTATTAAAGAGACACAAGTCCCATCACTAGACAAGGCCCACTGAGGAAACCCCAGCCCCTCATTTGAATTTAAACACCTTGACTTAAAAACACCCTGAAATAAAAACTTAGTTAAATAATAACAGTGGGTAAAATATTGAAAGTAGATTTACAAAATAAAACACCATGATAAAATTAAATAATAAAATGAATGAATTTTGAAATAAATACATCTTGAAATGTATAAGTAAGATTGTGATTGACAAACTTAGCCTCTCCCAAGTTTTTTTTATATATATATTTTTTATGATGGGGACATCTAATTTTTTTATTTTATTTTATTTTTTAAGTATTTATTAATTATTTATTAGCGACAGCATTTATTTACTTATTTAACTTTGAATACAATGACTGCATTAGTTGAGCCCTTTTCATACTTGTTCACTTAAAAAATGCTTCATTATCAGGCTTATGGTATTTAAGGACTGAAAAAAAAGAGAAAAAAAAACTTTTCTTTTTTTTTTGTTTCATAAATATATAAAGCCATGACTCATTTCTTTATTACATTTCTTCAGAACTCCTCTCTCCAGGTTAACACACCACATGCAGGTTGCAGATACCCGATACATCACTTAAAATCCCAATATAATAGACTGCAGTTTATGGCTATATCATGAAAACATCTGAAAATACCTCAGCGAGGTACTGTGTGTCTTATGTAAAGTAGTTGTGAAATTCATGCTCCAGTAACAACTACAGAAGAATTAAGTTTACGTTGCCTAATGGCTCCCAGGTTTTGCTATTTCAATTATGTTTTCCCCATGCTAATGGAGCTAAAATCAGCTTTTTAGAAGTCGCCCTAAGGGGAATGCACGCTGTGTTCAATGACATCTCCCAGTTAAAATGAAAACTACACTCTCAATATTGTTTATGTTTCTTGCTCGCCCGCTCTTTCCCCACCAACAGTTTCCAACCAAGTGGAACCATCTCCCTTAGAATTTAGTGAAGGTGGAAGACAAGCTCTTAATCGCCTGTGTTATTGAATTATTGAATTAAAAGCTTAAGTACTCCGGGTGAGCATGTCAATTTTTCACAACTGAATGGTACAGTGCTCATTCCATTTTCATCTGAATAGATCATTTGTGTATGTAAAATGTAGAAGAATGGAGGTATTACACAGATCAGTTTCATTGTCTGTAATTCCTTTTTGCTGTGACTGTAATCATTCTGTGAGACAAGTCATATTCATCCTGCAGCTCATGCTAGTCTTTAATCTGCATTCAGATTCTTTCAACAACATTGCACTTTTTTGTCAAGCAACTGTGGTGTACAGAGCTGCATTAATTTGAAAAAAAAAAAAAAAGGGTTCGCTTCAAAGAGCATTATGCATAATTAAGGAAGAAGTTTAACCTGTTTTACATCCCTAAGTGATCCACCGGTAAACATGTACTTGGAGGAGTAAGTGTTGCAGTAAATGGTTCAGCCTCCTTTCTACTTGACATTCTGCTCACCTGTCTCCTTCCCCCATGTTCTGAAACCCTGGGACTGATACAGATAAAATGATGTGATGTTTCTGTCTGTATTTCAATGGGATGAGATGCTGTGACCCACGCAATCTCCCTCTCAAAGAGTATTTCAACTTATGCAGATGAGCTCATCAGAGCTGCCTGCTGAGATGAGACATCTAGGTCTGGAATTGTGTCAATACTAGCACCAAAACAAATGCAAATCAAAATCCAAATTAATGTGTTTTCCCCGAGGAGAAACGGAGTCGTACTTATAGTCAACTCTCAGTAGATGACAGGATTCTGTTATCCAGAAAAAGAAAAAATCCCCAACCGTTCCGACTTTGCCAGGGTGACAAAAGTCAGTGTCTCCAGATGGAGGAACTAAACTAAACTAAGTGAGGAGAAGCAGGAGACTTATGTGAGATTGTTTTACAGATGCAAAATGAAAAACATTCCAACATTCCTGGGATTATTTAGTTTAGTGATCCAGCTGTCCAAACAGACATCCATGTGTATCCTTAAACACGGCACAAATACAAGCAGATGCAGCGCATATCTTCTTGGGTTTTTGTAAATAATATTACCATGGCCGCAGCCGTGTTTATGTCCCTGCATGAATAAGTGGGAAGCCATGTTTGAAAAGCAGGTTGTGTTTGGATAAAAATGAGCAGTTTGGGCTGCTCTAATATGCCTGCTTTCCTAGCCTGTCTGTCAGACCTACCCTTATCTGCATTTGATTGAACGGTAAATAGTGCACAATGCATACAAACAGCAAATTTGCACTCTCGCAAATCTAATGAGGTAGACAGCAAATGATAGACATTTCATCAACTCAGTAAAGATGCAGCATTTCAAAGCCTTTTGAAGAAGCTTCCTTTTTATTTACTGTATCATTCTTTTTCATTTTCATTTTTTTTTTTTTTGCACATACTTGTCATAACCTTTAATCCGCTGTTTGTACAGTCCCTTTTGCTGCCAAGATGACCTATTTTCCCCCATGGGAATTATTAAAGTTTAATTTGCTTTAATCAGAGAATTCACTGAAACAGTCCTTGCTTGTAACTTGTCGTTGGAGCTGAAGCTGGAGCCGTGTGTCACCATTTATATTTCAGCAAACTTCGTGGACATTTACTGACTGTAGCCGTGATGACAGTGATTTTGAAAATAGCACAAACACGTCCATTGATGTGATGCATACTTTTAAGTCAAAGCTCTTAGCAGAGGGTGTCGACTAATATTCTGTCGGGTGCATCAACCCACAGTGCCTCGTTTTATTCGACATTCTTAAATATATAAATAGCCGTGTAAAATGATGTTATTTCTCCAGAAGTAGCTCTGAATTCCACAAGTACACAATATATAGGTAAAGTTAATGATTGATTTTTACAGATATAACGATGATATCAAATCCATTTATTTGTTTTTCTTTTTTCTACTTTGAAACACAGACTTTAAGGAAAATCATAGCAAAACTATAGAAAAAACACCTGCTTAATGTAGCAGTAGCGCTCAAAAGTAAAAACTAATTGTTCTAAACATATAAATTCTTTTATTTTGTTTGAAGGGGGAAAAAAAAGCACAGCAATCCTCACTGAGCCAGCTGACCATCAGTGCAACAGCAGGTAATGGAGGAACACAAAGTTGTCATTTTGCTCTATGTGGCACTTTCTTTTCACAGTCTTTTAAATAAGGGACTTTTACACTGCAAAGATGGTAGGTGGCGTTCTTTTTTCTTCTGGGTAAGTGGCCCATGCCTATTGCAGTGTCACTAGTGCTATCTGTCATGAACACACAAAAGAACATTTAAAAGACAAAAGTCTAGTTCTTCCACATAAACCACAACAGCTTCAGAAGTTGTGTCAGTCAAAAAAAAAAAAAAAAAAACTGCCCTTCATTCGCACAGTGTATACAAATTTAATAAAGTACACAACGAGTACAGTAGCCCACATAAAGCACAGCTTATTTCCACATAAACTGCAGAGGACGACAATAAAATTACAAATACATTCTTAAAAAAATGTTTGTTTTCTTTATAGGAACTTTAAATGGTTTTTATGAAAAGGGACATTCCCTGTTGCACCACCATTAACAGTTCATAAGACACTTCACTTTTTTTTAATGTAACGTCACTTGATATGTATTTCGGCTCCTTTGTGATTTTCAAAGTAATGGTTCTTATACACTAAATGGAGACAGAAAGCTTCACTGTACAAAAGCAGACAGGACTCGTAGCGTAACAGTAGCAGTTTGTTCAATAGCCTCACAAAATCGGAGCTGGAAATGTGTAAAATACAGACATCTAAATTGACATGTACAGTACACCATGAAAACGTTTGAAGTTAGGTTAGCACTGATTCCCACCACCCCGATATCCCACCCAAAACTTTCACACCAGTCAAGGACACATATTTCACCTAAACACAACAAGTCACAAACTAAAAAAGTAAAAAAAGAAATAAACAAACAGAACATAAAACATAGAAAGCAGATGGTTTTTGGTTATACAATGCGTTTGAACATCTCTGTGGGTCAAAATAAATCAACTCCTGGTCATCAATTCAGGTTATCATCATCATCGTCATCATCATCATCATCACACCCCTGGCAGGTGAGAGGGAGCCGGAGAGTACCATCACCTCTCCTGTCAGTTGCCAGAGTCCCTCTGGTCGGGAGCACAATCCGACCCCCCACACTCTTGACTGATGACAGAGCTGTGAATGAGACAGCTTGACAGGGACTTAGGCCTGAGCTCACAGGTCAGGTAGGAGGGCTCCTCCAGCTCGGTGTGCAGCGGGGAGCACTGGCCATCTGGAGGGCCATAGGCACTGCTGTCTGATCCCCCGTCCCTTTCTTCTTTGGGCTCTCGGCTGGCCAAGTCCAGGGGCGCGCCGCTCTTGGTGGGGCTGCCGGACGCAGATGGACTCTCTTGGAGTGGTGGGCTTAGCGCACGCTGCGATTTTAAGTAAGGTTTAACATTGGCCACGAGGATTGTACTGTCCCGCTGTTCTTTTCCAAACGTGGTGAGGGTCTTTCTGCTGCTGCAGCTGATGGTGCCATAAATCTCTGTCTCTACCATGGCATCCATTCCCACAGGGATGAAAAGGTTGGTGCGATTATCTGCGCTGTCTGCTTGGCTTCCTACCCGTAACTTTGGCATCCAGCATCTGTCAGAGTGTCCCAGTGCACGACATTCATCGGTGCAGTGGACTGATTTGTCTTGCTCTGCAAAAACAGTTAAACATTTGTTATTGGAGCCTGCTGTGGTAGGAATAAACAACCCACAGGAAAATGTAGATGACATTTTGAAGGATGAGCAGCAATACTGAAACACAGCAAACAAACACAATTTCTAACATTATTCCTAACTCCAACTAACAGCATCACTGCTGACATGTAATATTGCATATGTCACAGTGATTTCCAGAATAAAATCCCATTATGCAGTCTAAAAAAAACCTTTAGACTGAGAACAGTTAGACTATTCTAAGATATTTTTAATTAAATAAACCCTAAATTGATAATGCAAGCATATATAACATATGCATTTCCGGTTTAACTATTCGTTTTTTTGTTTTTGATAAATTAGTGAAAATACTGATTTGTACATCTTCCGACACATTTCCCCCCTGGTATTATCAACAATCTGTGTAGGTGTTTTCCTGGAACATATCTGGTGCAGAAGATGTTTTCAATTTACATTTCCATCTGAACTGATTTGAAAAGAAAGAGTAATTTCATTTTAACCTGCAGGTCCTGACTGGAAGTAAGTGGCAGTCTCAGTAGTTAGGATACTATATGTTTGTCATGATGTTCACACAGTTTCACCCATCAGTCTCTCATGGTAATATTTTTGAACAGTTTTTGAGTTTTTTGTCACTTGCAGCATAAAGCAGTAACTTGCTTGTTCTGGCCACATTCCATTTCGTGTGTATATATATATATATATATATATATATATATATATATATATATATATATATATATATATATATATATATATATATATATATCTATATATATATATATTTATATATTTTTTTTTTTTTTTTTTTTTGTCAGAAGTTGCCATACATTTCTTTATGACTTGACAGAAATCTTCCACATGTTTCTCACAATCATTTGGTGAAAGTTTGGCTCATAACTGACAGAACTGGTGTAACAGAGGTTTGTAGGCTGCAACCCTTGGCACTTTCTTCACAACTTTGTCAGGATTTTCCTTAAGCCATTTTAAAACATATGATCTGGCTTCACCCCTTTGTTTCTATGAGTGTATTACTGGTGATTATAACCAAAGATTTCTGTTTTAGTTTCATCAGTCCACAGGATTTGTCTCCAAAAATGAAGGTATTTCATTTTGAGTGCATATACAAACTGCAACAGAACAACTTACGTTGCTTTTGCAGTTATCACTTTGAAGATTCTTTTACTTTGGTGTTTAACCAATAGAAATATTTGCAGTATGAGGTCAGCCCATTTATCATTTTGACTGGGGAAATTACTGCACACACTCAAGCACACATTGAACCTAAAGTTCATTTTCCAGTCACAACTAAAATGTATATGATGAGCAATTTAAGAGTAAAAGAAAAAAAAAATCGAACAGTATCAGAAGAGACCAAATTCCTGGCTTATTTTGTAAATCTTCCACATAGCAGCTTAAATGTGACCATGATTGCGTGCACTGCAGCACTTTGAACAATTTTGCATCAAGGCAGAACATGTTGCTTATGAGCACTGACACCAACAGACCAGATGACAGGAGACAGAGCCAAAATAACGAAGGCCGACTTGACGGATTAATTTTACATAAATGTCTGTTTACTTCCTCAGTTTTGAACTAACGTAGCAAAAGTACAACTTTTTCGGCATTTTTGTGTGCACTAGATTATTTGTAGCTACTGTGAAATGTGTTACCAACTGAAATATCAATGAGTCATATCAAAACAGAATAAGCATGATGCTGTTAATCTACAGTGCATGAAAACCTCTTTGGCATGAGTAAGATGGGAGTATTTAAAACTGGCGTTGCATGTGTGAAGTCTAATACATTTTTAGAAACACAGGACTATCCTGCAGAACCTTTAGTTGAGACAAAATACTTGTCACTGTTCAGAGAAATGAATAAAAGAGACTGCAGTGAGTGGATAAAGTTTAATGCAATCACAATAACGATGTGGGAACGATAAAATATACTACTGCTCACTTAAGTTTTAAGAGTTTTTAATGAAGTTTTGAGCTGGGACTTGGCAAATGCCCATTCTTAACTGACTTTGATCACATCAGGGACAACAAAACAGATTGCAACATCTGTAGTATGTGCATACTGTATAACTATTAGCAAAATGAATTCTGGAACACATTCAAAAGTGATCCTTTTTATGTCATTTCAACACACACAAAAAAAAACAAAAAACAAACATAAAACAGAAATTTTATATCAAGATCTGTTATCCAGCAGCATCATGTCCTATTGGCTGGAAAGAAGAGGGTTGCTCCTGAGTCCTCTGTTCTGCAGTCAAGAGGATGTTCATTGAGGATGAAGAGTGAACAGCTTTTTCCACTTAACTATGAGCGGTTTTGAATGACCACACAGACACACACAGGTCAGTACATACATGTCAGTGGAAATGCAGAGAAAACCCAATCAAGCACACTGAATCAATCCTATCCTACTCGTTTTCTTTTGCACCAGATAGTCTCAATTGTATTTTTATGGTCTCTAAATATCAGCCTTTTCTGTTTGCAGCCTTGTAGATCCAGAATATTTGCAGGAACTTAATTATTGTCATTTGTTTACCAGTCAGATTATTCTTTTGTCCAACAGCTTTTATTTTTCTATTTGCTGGTTATTTCATGTACATTCTGCTGATAAGTAGTTCGAGAGCTTTCTTAAGTAAAATAAAATATCAAATTTAGAGGAAGAAAAATAATTTTCTGCGTTTACCCTCTTTCTGGGGTTGCAGTTGCTGTGGGGTGGTAGTGGAGCCAATCCCAGCTGACATTTGGCAAGAGAAAGAGAAGCCCACGCCTTGGGCATGTTGCCATATTGAAAAGGTATCGCATCAAAATATGATTTTGAAAATAATTGTATGCCACACAGTCATTAGTTTGTGCCTTCACCATTTCAAAATTGTTTTGAAATCAAAGAATTGTGCAGAATTATTTTATTTTAGTTTGATTAATAAATGTTTGTCTACCTCAGTTTCTGAAAATAATTGCTAAACTTAAAATAAGTTTAAAAACTAAACTATTTCATATTTATATAAAATATACATATCACATATACTTATTTGTAAAAAAGAGTTTTTAAACATACAAAATGCTCAACCACCTGTTAGTGGTAGAGTGTGTTTTTTGTTGTTCTTTCATTTAATAAACTCACTATGGTCTAATTTTTTAAATGTCAAATTATGCAACTAGTATAAAAGATTAATTTATTTTAATTCAGAGATCATTACTATCTGTGCCAATAAATGTGAAAGGTGATATATGAAAAACATTCTTAAAATACAGAATTTTATTTATTCAGATCAACTTTTTACAGCATCAACATATTTGTGATTAAAATAAAGCATAGTTAACCTCTGCATCATGCTAAATTACTGTAATAGTGCTGACATATGCTGCTAACCCCAATAATATATATATATATATATATATATATATATATATATATATATATATATATATATATATATATATATATATATATATATATATATATATATACTGCACTATTCACTGTAACAAAAAAACAAAAACAAAACAAAACAAAACAAAAAAAAACAGAGAAAATGTTGAGATTATTCATAGGTGATGTGTAAGTCTCACACATCACCTAATCCTGGAGGCATTAAATAAGCAGACAGAGAGCAACATGTACAAAAAAGCCAATTTCCATGGTGTTGTCATTTTTTTCCCGTTTCTGTGACCATTTTGTTCAGCTATCAAAATTAATTTGACAATAATGCACTGAGGTGTTTTGCATGTAAGGGCATGAAGCAAAATGTCAAAAATGTCTTGTAAGTCAGTGGAAAATAATAGTTTTCCTTCATTTATTATACATGAAAATGAAACAGCAATTTCATCCTCCTCTTGTTCTGTCGACTGGTCTAAGTTTACTCTAATAAATGTGTTTTCTTGGCTGTGGTTTCTGCAACACTGCAGGAACTTTTCACCACAAACATAATTTTAAGGAGAGATCAACAAATTTGTTAGAATTTGGTCAAGCATGAGATTTTACCGAGTGTATTTCCCAAATGAAAGAAAACACAAAAGGTCTGCTTGGCTTATTTTTTATGTAGATATATTGTCATACAATAATTAATTATTGACAAACTGTGGAATAAATTGTAACATTCGTTACACTTTGCTATCCATTAATCTTTTTCCTTCAAATACATTTAATATAAATACCTACAATATTTCATTCATGGTTTAATGCCACTTTGATCAGCTCCTTTTTTGTCTTGCTCACATACCATTTGTATTATCAAAGTCCCTCAAGCAAGTGGCTGACTAAATGAGGCACTTGATTTCATTTTGAAACCAGGCTCTGATGAGGATGAGCCTTGAACAAGAGACAGCTTCACATGATGTGGCGGGGAGATGTGAGATGATCCTCCTTTTGAAGGTGATAGTACACCTTTTATCATACAACAGCCTCCACAAGTTTTGTTGAAGGACACACAAAACCAAGAGAACATGGATGCCAGAACTCCTGAGAGTTGTGGAAATGAGCACCATTGTATCAAACAAGCTCTTTTCCAAAGTACATGCCACAACTATCACATTCTGTATTAACACCTACACAAGTGCACCCACACATAGCCACAGGGTTCGATGAAACTGTTAATTATGCTACAGAGGACAAAGCTAAATTGTGTTGTTAATTTAGCATCTGAGCTATTAATGATTTTAAATGTTGGTGGAAAAGATGATTACATTTTGCTTGTTCTCCATGTTTTTTTACTTGGATGGTTTTAAAAATATGACTATGGTAATAGATTTTGAGTTAAATACAACTAAACCAAGTTTCTTTGGAAGAAATTTTGACAACTTTTTCTCAGACTGTTCTTTTTTTTTAAAAAAAAAAGAAAATATTTCTAAGTGCTAAAAACTAAGTTTTCTAAGCTGTACAGTTGTAGAGCTACTCTTGCTCTTCAACTGTACCTAATGAACTAATGAACTCTGAACTACACATGTTTGAAATATGGACAACT